TAGAAAGAATGCTTTGTTCATTTACTTCCCCAAATAAATAAGTCTTATTTTCTTCATCTTCATTTAATCCCATCTTTTGATTTTGCTAATATTTATTGATTTTTTCTCTTCTAGGATGAAAATTCTAATTATGGCAAGAACAGTAATATGGAAGAGGTTAATTATTGATTCAAAACTATTTGGATATTTTATTATTTAATGTTGAGACCTTTTTCTTAAAATATAATAGGATGATAATAAACGAAAAAGAAAACAATCATGTGAAGAAAATGAAGATGAAGAAAATAAGACTTATTTATTTGGGGAAGTAAATGAACAAAGCATTCTTTCTACAATTGATGAAAAATCTTTGAATAACGAAATGATAGTATTGGATGTTTGTACTGGGAATGAGGCAATTGTAGAAGTGATTTAGACAAAGATCATAAAAATTTTAATATTCATATTCAATATATGGGGCATACTGCAACAAAACCAGACAAAGTGAACATTGGTATACCAGAATTTCAGGGATCAGAATTTAGTCATTTGTAATGTTGTCCGATTGATAATAAACGAACGAATTTTCTATAAATAACTAAAATCTATGATGATAATAATAATAATAAAAAATAGGATATTGGTTTTTTTTTGATAAAAAATAAGCGTTATTCAACAAAAAATTACAATTCTTGTCTTTTATTCTGTTTATATAGTTAGATATTTGTCAAATCGATTACACACCAAAAAAAAGCTAATCATTTTCACACAATTTATTATGATTGATCTTTTAAACAATAAAAGATTTCTGCGGTGGTGGCAAAGCATCATTTTCAAAAAAGATTTGTTGGTTTTTCTAAGAAAGGAATTAAATCATCAGGAACAATATAAACAAAAATCCGTTTTTTTTCTTCCAATTTAACAAAATGTATTGGTCAATTTCTTTAACAGCAAAACCAATCAAGTTTCTCAGAACAGATTTTTTTCTCGACTATATAATGAACCTTTTTTTCGAATAAAAAAAAATGGGAGTAGAAGTGCATGCAGTGTTGCAAATTTCATGGCGAGACAAGACATAGCAAAGCAAGGCAAAAGAAAGCAAATGCACTTATTAAGAAACGAAATATTTGCCACATGACGTAAAATTGGCCAAACAAGGTGAAAAAGTTGATCATGCCAAAAACGAAACACGCCTAAGCACCATAACATGACAAATGTTTAATTTTTTATTGGTGTTAAATATACTGTCATCCTGAGACAACTTTTACTTTTTTTTTTAAGAGATGTGATTGTACTCTGGGATGCCTTTGGGGGCTTCTTTCTTTAGAATTCTTTTTTTGAGAAATTAAAATATCAGAGTCTTTTTGTACCACATTTTGAAATTGATAAATAGTTATATTATGAACTTAATAAAATAATAAAACAATGTTATGAGTATAATTACCGATACAATCAGCATCTTTGTTAATAGATTTCTCATTTTCTCAAAAGAAAATAAGAAATCATTTGGAACCTCAGCCACAAATAATTGATTTTGGATCAAAAAATCATCAAATCTCATCATTCCTTTAAACACCAATTCATTATTCTTAGACAATAAACCAATTAAAACTAAATTATCTGGTACAGGTATTTTTCTCTCCCAAAGATGAAATTAAAGGATTCTAATAAATTGTGTGATAACTTCAACTCGTCATAATTATGTTTATCTGGATCATCAACGTCAGGAGAACTGCAACTTCTAGCATAATTAATTCATAACCAGAATTATTTATCAAAGCAAAATCTGGACGTTTTGTTTCTCTGGTGTCTCGGTTTTCAGTTCTCATTTTTTCTTTCATAGAAGGCGACTGTAAATCTCTACATAAAAAAATGTCATTTTAAAAATATTATAATTTTGACAAAATATACACATGTTCATAAAATATAATTACCACGATGTGCTTGTTAAGTTTAATGATAAAACCATTGTTAAACGGCCAAAAAATTCTACCACGTATTTTGCTTCATTCATGAAATCAGACTTGAAAAAACCCAACTGAAACTTTAATAAGCTAATTGCATATAAATAATTTGACAGGATTAGTGAATTTTATTTATAATCTATAATTATGCCTAACTTGTATATTAGTAAATTAACAACAAATAGACAGTTACAAATCTTCAACCATAGAAATTATGAACAACTTTTGACGTTCTGAAAAAGTGTCAATTGAAAATTTATGATTGATTCTAATAATACCCATGTTTTTATCTATTTCTCCAGGCCTTGCAATTGATGAAAATATTAATTAAGCTATTCTGGGAAACCTAGTACAGTACTAATAATAAATAATATTACTTCGTCATCACACTTGTATATTTTTTCGATTTCTTCCAACAAATCAAATTGTATCTTTTCAATATTGTAATCTATCGTAAAAAGCTTCTTCAGAAAAGAGTACTCGCCATCTGATAAGTATTTTCGGTGATGGAATAAGTCAATAATATTATCGTTTATTAATAATCTACTCATGGTCTTGTTTGAGGTATTGATTTTATGCCTCAAGCTCCTAAGTATTGATGATATTAATAGAATTCTTGGTGTTGTATCGAATGACGATGTTTGTGATGGTAATGTTGAAAGTGGGATTCTTTTTGTTCCAAAAATAAACATAATTTTAAGCTTGTCAGTCACTGAACATATAAATTACCATTATTCTCAAATAATTGAAATGAAAATAAGTCAAAGTAGCCGCAATCACCACTATTCTTATGATAAGCACTTGCCTTTTTGCTACAATTTCATCCTCTTTTCTCCTTTTCTTCGGCCTTTCTATATCTTTTCTGGGCATTTTTTTAAAAAAAATGTTTTTCCACCATTCTTTTAAAAATAACTAGAGTGACGACAACCACCACCACAGGACCGGGAAAACTCTATTGAATGTGACCGCCAACACTATGATTCGAAAGTACTTTAAAAAAAAAAATGTGACCGC